AATCTGCAGGATTATGGTAGTTGGGACAATTTAAACCCATGGATGATAAAAAAGGAACCAAACCGGAAACGACTCCCTGATACAAACATTGACCATCAGCTAAAGCATATAAATAATCAAACATTTCAAATATTCGAGCACTCGGTTGATGTATGGTACAAATAATTGTTCTGCCTCCTCTCGAAAGAGATTTTAAAAGTGAGATACATTGAAAACAAGATGAACTATCAAGTCCGCTAAAACATAAATGCAAAATAATATTTAATTATTATTTCATTTTCACCATCCGCCATTATTCATGAAAATCTACAACATTTGTTTAAATATTTCACCTTGTTGGCTCATCGAAAAACATGATGGGGGGATTATTAACTAATTCTAATGCTATGGATAATCGTTTTCGTTGACCTCCGGAAAGACTTAAAGTCCTTGTATTACTACAATTAACTAAACCTATCGCTTTGAGAATTTCTTCTATCACAACTTGTTTTTCTGAGCTTTTTACATCTTTCCCTAATTTTAAATTAGCGGATACGGTCATAGCTTCTAATACGGTCAAATTCGGCAACAGATGATCATCTTGCATTATATAACAAGAAAATTTTCTAAACCTTCTTAAATTTCTTTGTCTTCCATTAACGGTAACAGTTCCTGTTAGTCTTTTACCGAGAAAACCCATTCTAAAAATAAAAAAAAAGTTTAATTTTTCATTTGGAAGTATAAATATAAAACATTTACTTTTTTTTCCAAAATAAAAATAAAATACTTTAAAAAATTTTTCAAACTTGATTAATAGTTTTATGACGTCATTCCAAAATTTTTACTCTATGATATTGTTCGTAACGTATTTAAAAAAAAAAATAAAAACCGGAAAAAGGAAAAAAAATTTATTTTTATTTTTGTGTATTTCCGCTTAGATTTCAACGGTTAAATTTACTTTCCTATTAATATATATTTATTAAGTCTTTTATTAAATACGTTCCCTGAAGTTTTTTTTGAAAATTGACGAGGAAAAAAAAAAGAAAATAATATTTATCATATAATACGTGTTCTTTTCTATAATCGATTGATTTTTACCGCTGCATGGCAATATAAAAAAAAAAAAAAAAAAACGATTATTCTGACTAAAATATAAATCATGCAGTTATAAATGATTAGGCGACTCAGAAATCGATTAATATTTAATAAAAATTTATTTTTAAAAATGAATTTAATCAAAATACATACTTATAGCCAGCCAATATATTCATTAGAGTACTTTTTCCAGCTCCAGAAGGTCCTAAAATTGCTGATAATTCACCAGATAAAAATCTTCCATTTATATTTTTCAATATTGTTTTGTATCCTTAAAAAACAATTAAAAAAAATTTTATTTAAATTTAAATTTTTATTTATTTATAATGTAATTATTTCAATGGGGGGGGGGCCCACATATATTTTTTTTAATTTTTTTAATTATTGCAATTAACAGTTGTTGAAATATATTTAAAAATACTTGTATGAAATTTAATATCTTTTGATTGCATTACTAGTTAACCAATACGTTTTAACTTATAATTTTTGCAATTAGTAATAATTCTATGACTGTTTATAATTATTATTATTATTATTATTTTTTACCCTTTTTTCTTCCTTCAAGTATTGAATAAGTTAAATTAGTAAATTCTATATCGACAGGTGGACGTGCAGGTAAATGATTTAAAGTGATTGGTTTTTTAGTAGAGGGACTTGCCGCCATTTTATCATTTGCATTCTGTATCGTTTTCGTTTGTTTTGTAAATGAATATCCCGTTGGCAAAATTTGATAATTTGATTGACATGACCTGCATTTGAAATTTAAAAAAAAAATAAATAAATAATTAAATAAATACCTATATGTAAATCATTCTTTTCAATATCAAAAGTAAGTACAAAATATTATTATTATTATTATTAGTTTGAGTGATATCTTAAATTATTTTGTAAAAAATAATGAAAATGATGGAATTTTTAAATAGTTTTCAACTTAATATTTAATAAATAAATCCAATCTAAATTCAAAATCACTAAAATGTGTGAATGCCAAGGATAAATATTGGTCACTTTTTAACATTTTTTATTAAATGAAAGTAAAAGTTTTTTTTTTTTTTTTTTTTCTGCACAACGATATTCAAAAACTCATTAACTCATTCAAAAAATTACAATTGATTAATTTAATAATAATATAAATAAATCAATCATTAATTATTCATATTAAATGTAGAAAAAAAGGAAAACAATCATTGTCATTTCAATCATCATTATAGTAACATTGATTAAATTTCTTTTATAAAAACTTTGAAAAGTCTAAAATAAATTATTATTATTATTATTGCTGCATGGAATATTATATTAATGTCTTATTATTGAATGAAAGAACCAATAATTTAAAAATAAAAAATGGAAATGTTAAACTGAGGAGTTTGAATGGGAAAAAACAAAGAATTTTCCTAACTGAAATTTTTTATATTAAAAATATTTGTATATTATAAAAGGCTACATATACAGGAAGTTGAATGGATATTACATTTTCTATGGCAATGACTGTGATTGATTACAATTAAATAAAAAATTTAATTTTAAATAATCATTCAACCGACTTTTTAACCTTTTAATAATTATCCATTTAAAAAAAAGGTAAAAAAAAAAAAGAAAATTTGCTTAAAAAAATCAAGTGGAATTTTTTTTTTTTTTTTTTTTTTTTTTCACTTAACTTAATTGGCTCTAATTTGCTAGGCATTAATTTGCATTATTGTTTTACTTTTCTCTTTTAATGTTTTGACTATTTATATTTATTCAACTATAACGAAACCTTATTATTATTATTATTATTATTATAGATTCGACGTTAAATTTGACCAAAAAAAAAAAAGTTAGATTCTTACTCTATTAAAGGCCCATTTGTGTTTATGGACGTTTCCATTAAATTTTCCGGTATTGATAAACAAACAACATTTTCTATTTTTTCATCAACATTATTTTGTGCATCTCCTGATTCCATCATTTTTTTAATTTATTTTCCATTAATGCTATATAAAATAATAAAAATTTTCTTCCTGAAATTAAAAAAAAAAAAAAAAAAATGACAATTTATTTACTGTTGGAAATTTTTTAATATTAATTATGATTATCCCTCCTCTTCCCCCCCCCTTTTTTTTTTTTTTTTACAAATTATTACATACGTGGTATCGGTTATATTATTTAAAATACTTTGAAAGTTTATTTCATAATAATAATAATAAAAAGTTGGTAATAGAAAAAAAGAAACTTTTTTTTTATGTAATAACAAATTAGT